GACGGCGCCGCGGCCGCGGCAGCGCGCCGGCGGGGCGGCGCCGCGCCCGGCGCCGCCGGGGCGGCCGGCCTGCAGGCCGCGTGCGGGTCGCCCGCGGCGCGGCCGCGCCCGGCGGGGCAGGCCGAGGAGGAGGCGTGGCCGGAGGGCAACGCGGCCTGCGAGGGCTGCGGGAGGGTCACTACGGGTGCGAGGCGTGGAGCGATGCCGGCGTCATCCTGTCGCGCCCTGCAGGAGGGCCAGGAGGCCCACGATGTGGGCGCTGGCGGGGAGTGCCTGCGGCTCGACGGGCTCGCGGCCTGAGTCCTCGGCGCGTGCCGGCGCAGGGAGGTAGGCGGCGAGGAGGCGGGGGGAGGGGGGGGAGGGAGGAGGGGCCAATCGGCGAGGGGGGAGGGAGGAGGAGGACGAGGGGCGGCAGGAAGGGCAGGAGAGCTGAAGCTCCCGTGCTTTCGCCTAGACGCCGGGTAGCGGCCCCCTTCCAGGCCCGTGGGGTTTGGGTCGTGGGAGCGAGGCCGCCTGTGCAACCTGCCGCGCGAGAGGCGCGCGGAGCCCCGCAGGAGCGCCTCCCTTCCTCGTCGTCTGCTTCCTCGGCTCTCGTGCTCGACGCGCCGCCTCCCTGTTATAGCCCAGACATGTGGCGCCCTGTTTTTTCCAAGCGGGGTCCCTGGGAGTCCCGACCCTTTCCCCAGGAGGAGGAGGAGGAGGAGGAGGAGGAGGAGGAGGGAGGAAGAGGAGGAGGAGGAGGAGGAGGAGGAGGAGGAAGAGGAGGAGGAGGAGGAGGGGGAGGGGGAGGAGACCTTCATCCCGAGTGGTCTTTTGACGGCTCCGAGGCCCTGCGAGCGGCCCCCCGAGGCCGGATATGGCCGAGAACCCGCCGCCCTGTTTTTGTTCACGGCGCGATCTCGTCTGGGAGCCCATCCGCACGACGCATGCGACTCCCATCCCGACCAGCAGGCGCGGTGCCCTGCGCCACGAGCCCAAAGTCTCGGGCCGAACGAAAGGGGGGGGATAGGGAAAGCGGGGGGGGTTACGAACTCTGCTGCATGCAGCTGGTTTCGGCCCCGCCCCCGGGCCCACTCCTCGATGCACGGGCGCCTCCCGGCGCCGGGAGGCGGTGGGAAAATCAGCTGCGGGAGCTGATTCTCTCTACCCTACCCTTTTTTGCTACCTCCCCTTTCCTTCCCCCCGGAATCAGGAGGGGAAAAAACACAGACACAACCAATCCAGGAAACGATGGGAAACTATGGTAAGTGGGGGGACGACGAAAACTTATGAAATATGGGAACGTATGGGGAATCCTGTTATTCGTGTCTATTTACTTCTGTGTCCCAGGGCCCCTTCACGAAAGTCTCGGGGCATCCGACGTTGCGGAGCCGGCCTCGACACGCCCTCGGCGGAAGCAGGCTGGGCGGAAAAGGCGGAGATATGGAGCCTCTGCCGGGAGCGGATCTCCGCCGGCGGAAGCCGCGCGGAAGCTCGGCGCGCAAAGGACAACGCACAGTGAACTAACAACCCTCCTCCTCCTCCTCCTCCTCCCCTCCTCCTCCTCCTCCTCCTCCTCCTCTCCCTCCCTTATTCCTTCTCTTCTCCTCCTCCTCCCTCCTCCTCCTCCTCCTCCTCCTTCCTCCTCCTCCTTCCTCCTCCTCCTACTCCCTCCTCCTCTCTCCTCCTCCTCCTCCTCCTCCTCCTCCTCCACCTCTTCTCCTCCTCTCCTCCCCTCCCCCTCTTGTTTTCCTTGTCCTCCTCCTCCTCCTCCTCCTTGTCCTCCTCATCCTCCTCCTCCTCCTCCTCCTCCTCCTCCTCCTCCCAGCCCGCACAATGCACCCCTGTCGCCGACGCCCTGCAGCGAAGGCGCCCCGGGGAGGAGCCGCGCGGGAGCAGGCTGCTCGCCCAGGCATTGCTCGCGCCGTCGAGCAGAAATCGAGGCGGCGGGTTTTCGGCCGTGTTCGGCCTCGGGGGGCCCTCGCTGGGCCTCGGGACCGTCCAAAACCGAGTCAGGATGAGAAGCCGGTCCCGGGGAAACGGGTCGGGACTTCCAGGGACCCCGCGTGGAAAAAGTCGGGACGCCGCGTGTCTGGGAGGATGTCCTGCACCCCTCCCGCTGGCTTCGTTTCTTCTTGCCTTTCTGGCTTCGCTCTCTCTCGTTTTTCATGCTCCTCGCCAGCTCGCGCACTGCCCGTGGCCGCGGCTGCTGCCGGCACCGTGGCCTGGCTGGCGTCGTGTCCATGTTCCACGGCCTTGGGGCCAGCCAGAGGAGGGTGCGCCGCTGGTTTGCCAAGAGAGGGGAGAGGGACCCCCCTGGTCCCAGTCTGCCGTCCTTGACCCCCTCCCCTTTTCTCAACCACCATCCTGGAGCCCCCTTATTCTTTTCTGTTCATGGAATGGGAAATTGGTCACCCCCCTCTCCTGACCCGTTTTGGTATTCAGATGCCCCCGCTTCCTCCCTTTAGGGAGCCCCTTCCCATCTGTCCATCAGCAACCCAACCATAACACACTAACTCTAACACCCTGTCCCGAAAGCACTGACCCCTACTAACACGATATCCCCTAACGCGGTAGTTAACCTCACACGCCATCACACCCTGGCACCCCAGCATGAACACACCAATCCATGCCACCCTAACACCTTGACCCTGATACCCTGACACCATAACCCCGACCATCTCCGTAAGCACCCTAACCCTAACACTCTAAGTCAGTACCTTCCTGACCCTAACACGCGCCTCCTAACCCTACGCGCCCTAGCTGTAACAACCTATCCCTCACATCATGACCCGAATCCAAGCAACCGAACTCCAGCACGCTAGCATCCGAATTCTCACCCTCATAACACCCTAACCCTGACACCCCTAGCACCCTAACCACAATCACGCCACCTCTACACCTAACACTTTTGCCTGACGCCCAAATCCGAACTCCCTGACCCAGACACTGACACACTAGCCTGCTGAGCCTACCCCAGCACCCGACCCTTGACACCCGAACCCCAACTCTAGCGCCCGAACCGTAAAACCCGAATCCTCAGCGCTCTAACACACGACCACCCGAACTCGAACCAGTTCCCCGGCCGAGTACCACACCCCTAACGCTCTGCAGCCGAACGCTCCAATCCTACCACTCTAACCCTGGCCCCATCACCCGACCGTGAGACATCCTCTCA